CAGAAAGCAGACTAGATGCTCCCTTCAAATTTCTCTAAGTGGTTGAGCGCCTCTGAGTTAGAAGTGAACTGGGAAGAAGTTAATGGGGGAAGGATACCACTGTTGGTTAAAGTGGAAACTGAGGAGTTATTCACGTTTTCATGGATCAAGTCTTCTCTGGTCCATTCCTCCACCTTCCATGATGAGGCCAGGGCAGCCCTTTATTGTGAAACCCCTTCAGTGAACACTGAACCCCTCAGTCTGGACTGAAACCTCATTTGGGCTGTACTTCAAGAGTCACTCAAATACCAGCTCATTTGATTCACAGCACAGCCAGGGCCTAGCAACATGTTTGCTTTGTCTGATAAGAATGAATTCCAGGGCAAAAGGGGAGAAATCTCCAGTAATTCCAGCATTTTCTCCTACCATCTCGCTCCTTTCATACTTGACTCTATCTGGGGGAAGCAGGCAGCCCATGGCTGCCCTCATGGGCAACAGAACAGGAGGAAGCATTTCAGTGAGCCCCTGGCATGTGCAGGCACCCAGTTACCTGTCCATGGAGGCCCCCCACACGCTGGGCCCAGTAACATTCAGCAGGCAGTGGCACACCACACCCTACTTGCATCTGCACTGTTGGGTCCTCCTATGCCCATGGGTGGACAACAGATCCCCACATCTGAGTTTCAGCTACCTTTTTAGTTCCCTAAGCAAACTGCTGTCCTTGACCATCACCCCATTCAGTCCCAGGAAAGTCTTCTCACGGGAAGAGGCCCATGATGTCATCAGAAGTGGGCTCAGGGCCCTTTGGTAGAGAATTTCAGAGTTCTGGATGCTCAGAACATGGGTGTTGGTGTGGTTCCACTGGGTACATCCCTTGGGCAGACAAGATGCCCTGCTCTTATGTGACAGTGTGGCCAGATGACGAAACAGGTTTCTAGAATGTGGGTTCAGGTTGTCTAAATGTGGTACTGATGAGGTATGGATCCAAAGTTGAATGAGTTCTGGGAAAATACAATCTTCTTAAGCTGGCAGAGCCAACAAAGAAAGAGGAGGGGGTAGGTAGCTTTAGCCTAAGCAGTAGACCCTGATCAAACAGTAGTTTTCTATAATGACATTAAATCATCACGTAACACCATCTGGTTGACTTCCTCTTAAGAGGCCTTAGACCCTGTTGGTTCAAGCCAGATGGCCACAGCCAGGGAGGAGAAAATCCCTCTGGGATGCTTTATCTGCAGGGCACATTCAACTCAAGCACTCCCCTCACTGTTGGTAGATTTGGTAAGGACTTGAAAGGGTTTTTTGGTTCTTTTCTGTGCTATGTCTTCTCCCCTATTTATTCCCATCATTTAAAGAGACAGTATCTCCACGTGCATCTCATTAGGTGTTAGGAACACTTTGGTAAAATTTCCTGTGTGAATGACCACAGTCAAAGATCCTATCCGGGAAACTCTTTAAGCCTTAGGGCTTTTGTGTCTTAGCTGCTGGTCTTTATGCTCCCTCCACTGCTGTGCCCTCCACTCCCATGCACATTGCTCATGCCCACACTGACCAACTCTTTGTATTCTGGTTTGTTCCCTCATAGCTTCAATACGACTGCCTGAGCTCCAGGCATCAAATCAGCAGTTAAGATAGAAAGCAAGGGTGAGGTGGAATATGAGAGAACCAGTGATTTGTTTTGATCAGAAAAGTGAGAGTTTTACCAAAAATATGCAAGCAAACTTCAGCCAAATGTGTCACTGAGCCACTCTTAGCTGCAAAGGCAAACTGTGCAGTGCCCCTAGAGCAGAAAAGGGAAGGGCAAAGGGGGCTGGCTGTGGGCTACATGTTGGCCCAAAGTATCTGCCACAACATGGAAAAAGCCTAAAGGATATGAGGAGGTGACCCCATTTGGCACTCAGTCTTTTAAAACAGAAAATTCCTGCTCTAAGCTCGTGTCACTCAGACTCTACCTTTCCCTTCCCTCATGCCAGATCAGGTGCATCCACTGCGCACCTGCATTTTGGTATCCAAACAACCACTTCCTCATTCTGAAGTCATTTGACATGGCTCTACCTTGATGCAAGGCATTCCTTTGTGTCCTTTGCTAAAGTGATAATACACATTCACAACATGCTAGTTTATAAAGCACTTTCTATGAAAGACCTTCCCTCTGTGTTTTTCTCTGGAAGTTCTCAGATGGAGCCCAGACACTCCACCTAACATCTCTCTGGAATCTTCTTCCTTCTGTGTCCACTATGCACTAGCATGCTGTCATGGTGTTGCTCTGGGTTAATTCCAGGGAGTTGATGAGTGGTAACCGAGCTCCACAGACTGACTTCTAAGAAACACACTCACTTTGACCTACAGCCCACATGTAATATACAAAGTCAACTATTTCCTCAATATCAGCAGAATAAAATGTTCACCTAGAGAATGCTCTGCTTTAAGAATACTGCAATCAGCATCATGAATGTATGAAATGCCATTGAATTGTTTAAGATAGTCAAATTTACATATTTTAATGATACCTTCATTTAAAAAAAATACTGTTACTACTATACTTTTTGACTTTATGAAATGCTTTTACCATTTTCTTCCTCAATTTGTTTTCTTTTCACATCTCTGCAGGCCAGAAAATACACAAACAACTAGTTGTTTCTTCTCAGATAAGGTAACCAAGGTCCAGAGAAGGTCTGACCTGCCAATTTGAGGATAACTGAGCAACAGAGAACTCCAATGTGTGGACTCCTGGGTCAGTGTTCATTCTACAAAGGTTCCAACTCAAACAGCCCAAAGGCTCAGCTCCTTCATGAACTCCACAATCAGCAAACAAAACAACACCTCTCCATCTATAGAGGCGAGGTCATCTCTTACTCTCCACAGTTTGTATTAATTTGAGGGAGGAATTCATCTCTGACAAACAATAGGGTAGGAGGGTGGATATGGATCAATTTTGCCAAGCCATTTTTTTCCAAAGTTCACTTTTAATTTTTTAAGTGTAAATCCAGTATTCTATAACATATTCAAAAGTAATGCAACCATGTTCTTCAGTTGCTCAGTTGTGTCCAACTCTTTGTGACCCCATGGACTATACAGTCCTTGGAATTCTCCAGGTCAGAATACTGGAGTGTGTAGCCTTTCCCTTCTCCAGGGGATCTTTCCAATCCAGGGATCAAACACAGGTCTCCCTCATTACATGTGGACTTTCTACCAGCTGAGCCACAAGGGAAGCCCACTATCTCCCAGAGTTGCTCAAACTCAAGTCCACTGAGTTGATAATGCCATCCAAACATGTGCAACCATATGCAACCATGTGCAACCATGTGCAACCATGACCAATACCTAGTTTCAGAACATTTTCATCATCCCCAAAAGAAACTCTGCACCCTTCAGCAGTCACTCCCCACTCTTCCTCCCTAGCCATCAGCAACCACTCATCTACTTTCTGTTGCCATACGTTTGTCTGTTCTGGACATTTCAGATACATGGAATCATTCAATATGTGGTCTTCTGTGTCTGGCTTCTTTCATTTAACAGGCTCATTCTCAGTGTTCATCATGTTGTATCAATATTAAAACTTCACTCATGTTTCTAAATCCCCAGAGACTCTTCCTGTTGCTTCTTTCCTGACAGTTATGGGCATGGGAGGATGGGGGACCACAGTCAGAGCAACATAAAAGAACACTCATGCTGATAGAGCCCAGAGAGAAGAGGTGACCCCTCAGCAGCATCACCAACATTCCCCTTCTTTAAGTAAAAGATACAATATGACAAGGAATGTCAGATCTACCAGCAGTTAACTAGACAGGCCTGTATAGAGCATATAACATAGCCCCTGAATACTCTACAGATGACCACACAGCCAAACCTGCCACTTAAACAAAGGCAAGGCCCAGCAACATCCAGGAAGAGTGATGCTCTTGACCCCTTCCATCCACAGACTTAACTTGTAGACTCAAAGTGCAACCTGTGAGTTCATCACCTCAACTGTCTTTTGCTCAGATCAAAGCCTTCCAGCTTCTAAAGCATTTCTTGGGGAAGACTGCCTGTGTTTAATCTAGGACAAATATTACTTGCAAACCTTCTGACTTCCATGTGCATCTCCAAGTCAAGCTGATGATCTGACTTCCTGGTGGCTTGAGCCAGCAGCTTACTAATGGTCTGTCCAGCTGGGCATAACCTCAATGTTCTTACTGATAGTCTTCCCATCTTCTTCTCCTTTTTAGTACAAGGTGGACAAGGAAATATCATTGTCTGTTTGCAGAGGAAGAAATGGATGCCCAGTAAGGGCAAGACCAATACTTATTAGCAAAAGGTGACAGAACTGAAATGAGGAGTACTCTCTCCTACCCCATTGCTTTGGATGTACCAGATGGATACACAAGAGGTTGTTAACCAAACACTCCTTCCACGTAGGAAGTAAGAGAAAAATGAGAGTTCATTTTTCACTGTCCAGATTTGAGGGCACATCTTTAAACTGATGGTTCATATGGTAAAGAATTCACTGCAATGAAGGAGACCCAGATTCGATCTTGGGTGGGGAAGAGCCCCTGGAAAAAGGAATAGAAACCCACTCCAGTATTCTTGGCTGGAAAATTCCATGGACAGAGGAGTCTGGCTGGCTACAGTCCATGGGGTCGCAAAGATTCGGATACAACTGAGCGACTAACACACACATTTAAATCCAAGTTGTACACTTCCTGCCATCACCCTGCCCTTCTTCTATAATCAGGTGCACGAACCAGAACATGACTTGCATAAATAGCAAAACATCTCACTGTCCCTCCCCAACCCCCAATTCTCCAACAAAACCCAAAGTCAACTCTAAACAAAAGAAATAGGGCCAATGGACTTGTATTCATTTTACATGAGGGTCCAAAGGAAAGCAGGCTTCCTCCATGTCAGCTGCTGAGAAGGCTGGAACAGAAGCAACCCCCAGCCCACGCCCACTTCCCCACCTCCCACCCACCCAACCACGCCCACCTCCACCACCACACTCCCCACACTCCCCGCCCGAGCCGCCGCTCAGCCTCACTGCTTACCCTCCCTTCAAACTTGGCAGTGGCTCCTTCCTTGATGCAGAGGTTCCGAGGGGGCAAAGTGAAAGCAGGGGCCTCAGTCAGGGGCATGGAGCTGACTCTTGAGTGATCCATAGTGAGGGAGGTTTTGGAAACGCGTGTCTGGGCGGCCAGCTTCACATCCCCCATGGTCTGCAAACAGGAAGGAAGATCCGGTCAGACAAAGTACAGCCTGTCCTGCCTATAGGTGGCCGGCATGCCCAGGGTGCTGGTTGGGTTTTACAGGGAGACTCACTAGGTCAGGGTCCACCTGGAGCTCCTCTCTAGGAACCAGAGGCTCTGTATCCTCAACTCGTGAAGCTGTTAAGAGTGAGGCCCAGCCCACCCCAGACAGCAGCTCCCAGGCCCATGTCCTGGGTTCCCCCAAATCCCATGGAGAACTTTCAGGAGAAGGGCAGCTGATGCAGAAACAGAAAAACCAGATGATTCTCAGTGTTCTTACAATGGGTATCTAAAATCAGTGCCTAACAGTATTCAACCTTCAGAATCAGTATCTGTGTTAGGCGCTCTTGGTAGGTAGTAAAAGCTTCTTTTGCCTGAACTGTGAGGGCTCTTAGGCTAAGGAAAAATGGGATCCATATGCCCAGGAAGGAGAGAGTTTGAGGTTAATATGGCAAGGAATCTGGGTGAGGTAAGGCCAGAGTGTGGGGCTGAAATCAGGGAAGGAAGCAAGGCTGGGGAGGATATCCCATTTCTGTGGACTGGACTGCGAAAAAGCCTCAAAGGCCACAGGACATCAGAGAAGGGAGCATTTTAAGGTTATCCAGGCTCACTCCTCCACTTATACGTGAAGCCCAGAGGAGGTAAGTCACTTGCCCAGAGAGACAAAGCACAATGATGGCATCACTGACAAGAAAACCAGGGCCTCATTGTTTATGGGGGCTGGTAGGTCGGTTGGAACAAAGGGACTTCCTTCAGGTTAGCTCTAGAAATGGAATCATTAACAGGTGTGAACCAGTTTTTGGTTGCAAATTCAGAAATAGACTCTGGCTCTATAAAAGTAGATGGGATATGTTGGAAAGACAGGGAGTGGGAAAGCTGTCGAAGTCCACAGGAAAGGCTGGAGAAGCAAGCTGGGAAAACAGGCAGCAGTGGAGAGAAACCAGGTCATCAGAACCCAGCCAAGGTTACTGGACACCTGTTGCCATACCCGGGAATGTGTCCCATGTATCCTTGTTCCAGATTCTAAACCAGGTGGGCGCCTCACCAGGATGGGATGGTTCCACTCCAGGGACCCACACCGGGGACCGTGTATCCATTCTTACTCAGCATGGAATCCACAGTACCTGACCTATCAGAGGCCTGCAATTTAACAAATACCTCGTAAACTAAAGAGTATTTCTAGTTTTTATTTTCTGTTCACTTGCTTGGGATCTTTAGTCACAAGCTTAAGTCCCATGCCAAATGGGATAAGCTGACAGAGATGAACAGTAGTGTCTGGGCATATAATTAGTTTGTTTAAATTTAATAACGTCTAACAAAAATAAAAGAGAGATGTATTTTGAAGTACAAATTAAAATAACATAGACCTAGGTTTGTTTGTAACGGGGCACATCCCCTGCTTGACAAACCTAGCTTTCTCTTTCACTGATGAGATATCAGCTTTGCAAACAAAATCCTTTCAAAATGATAAGACTCACAGATTCACTGCAGTAAGTAACAAGAAAAACCAAATTTATGTAGCATTTACTATATATCAGGAACTATTCTAAGCACTTTATAAACAATAGTTCATTTCTCCTTACAACACTAGGAGATAGATAATCTCATCATCCCCATTTTATAGATGAGAAGTGGAGGCTCAGTGAGATTAAGAAATTTGCTTAGGGCCAGGTGGCACTAGTGGTAAAAGAACCTGCCTGCCAGTGCAGGAGACGCAGGAGATGTGGTTTCAATCTCTGGGTTGAGAAGATCCCCTGGAGTAGGAAATGGCAACCCACTCCAGTATGCTTGCATGGAGAATCCCATGGACAGAGAAGCCTAGAGGGCTATATAGTCCATGGAGTCACAAAGAGTTGGACACGACTGAAGCAACTTAGCATGCACCCATGGCATTTAGCAGGGGGCAGAATTAGCATTTGATCCCAGGTGTGTGGCACGTATTCTTAACCACTGGGCCCTCTTGCCTCCGGTAAGCAGTCAGAGTTGGCTGTGTTTGAGGTTGAGGTAATAAGGGAGAAAGCGGACATCTCTTACCACACACATATAGAACTGAGACCTTCTGTGTGTCATCGTATACCATCGACAACATTAAAAGGGGAATGATGGTCTGGGATACAATGTTTTCAAGGAGAATAAAGGACTGGGACATCCCTGGTAGTCCAGGGGTTAAGAATCTACCTTGCAATGCAGGGGAGATGGGTTCCATCCCTGACTGGGGAACTAAGATCCCACATACTGCAGAGCAGCCGAGCCAGTGCACCACCACTGCTGAGCCCTGTGCCAGAGCTACTGGAGCCAACGTGCTCTGGAGTTCCTGTGCTGCAGCTACTGAGCCCGCTCCCTGCAACCAGAGAGTCTGTGGCGCCACACTTAAGGCCCTGAATGATGCAACCAAGACCCCATGTGCTGCCACTAAGACCCAACACAGTCAGATAAACAAGTGACAAAGCACCCCAGGACTTAAAAACAAACAAACAAACAAAAAGAATGAAGGACTAGGACACTCTATATACAAGAAAACAGCTGACATAATGAGCAAGCTATCACTTGGACAGTTCACAGACGATAAATGACCACAACACAAATGGATGCTGTCTAGCCTCAATCAGAATCCAAAAGTGCAAATTAAGAAGAAGTCATTGGTTTTAAAAAAATAACCAAACTAACATTTAAAAAGAAAGATAACAAATACTAGTGAGACTCTGGATACCACTCATGTCCTTTGGAGGAGTATAAATGGATGCAATCTTTCTAGAAAGCAATTTGGAAAAAAGATTCTGAAAAAAATAGTCCATTTCTTTCCCCAATGTGTTTTTGAGAACAAATCGGAGATATAGTTCCAAATTTACATAAAAGAATGTTTACCACATTATTTATAGGAAAATACATAGAAAAATAATCTAGTTAAACAGAAATAGAAAGAAAAAAACAGTTAAATATCCAACAGTGAGAATTGGTTAACTATATCAGGCATTTATATGAGTATATATTTACAAGGAAAATAATAATAGGAATTGATTGACATAGAAATTTTAAACCAAAAATAAGTTTCATAACGGAAAATTTCAAATGGGAAAATAGAAAGAATGATAAAAAGTGAGTACCTTGAATACCTATTGCTGGATTCAACAATTAATATTTTGCCATATTTATATCATTGTGTTTGTGTATGTGTTTGCAGAACCATTTCCAAGTAATCATGATATAATTTTAACAGCAAGAATCAGGATATAGTCATTCACTCATTTAAAATATATTATTAAACATCTACTGTGTAACAACGGATACTGCTACTGCTAAGTCACTTCGGTCTGACTCTGTGCGACCCCATCCCTGGAATTCTCCAGGCAAGAACACTGGAGTGGGTTCCCATTTCCTTCTCCAGTGCATAAAAGTGAAAAGTGAAAGTGAAGTCGCTCAGTCGTGTCCGACTCTTCGCGAACCCAGGGACTGCAGCCTACCAGGCTCCTCCGTCCATGGCACTTTCCAGGCAGGAGTACTGGAGTGGGATGCCACTGCCCCAGTGCACAATTACATGTGTGTATGATAAGCGGGATAACATGGGGGTAGAGAAGGATTGGGGTCCTTACATCCTGCAGGGCCTGCCAGGACCATACCCTAGAGGGGTCCCTTCTCCGTCTACCCTCCTCCACTGCCTCTGAAGTGAGGGGACAGACACACTCTGTGCTGCCAGCACCAGTGGTGATCAGGTCGAGTAAGGGTGGGTATCACAAGGGTCCTACCCAGCCACAAATCCAGGGCACTGACACTTTTCAGCTGTGGCCTGAGCAAGGTATTTCAACTCTCCTGGCCTCAGTTTCCCTTTTGGTAAAATGGGAATGATAATAACTTTGCAAGGTTGAGGGGAGGATTTGAATGAGAGTGTATATAAAACACTCAGGGCAGCATAAGAGGCATTTAGTAAATGCTAGCTGTCAACATCATCATCCAGCTCCCAAAGGGAAAGCAAGTCTCCCAGCCTGTAGGACAGATCCTTTCCACCAAGGACAGCAAGCCCAGGTCAGCCTGATTATCCTCAGAGCAAGGGTATCTGCACGAGGTTATTGTATAACAGCAGTGGGAAGCAGATGGCAGACCATGAGAAGGTGGGTAGGAGGGACTGGCGGCCCTGGCAGCCCCTGCATACTGTTCTATCTGTCCCAGCAGTGAAGAGGCAGGGTACGTGCACCCAGCATCATGCTGGGCCCTAATCTAACTCAATCCCTGGTCCTACAAGGCAGTTCTGATTATTCTCCTTTCACAAACGAGGACACCAGGGCTCAGAAAGTCAACTCCATGTAATCCAAGGTCACAGAGCTAAGAAGTGGAAACCAGACTGAATTCTGATCACAGCCATACCCCGTGGGCTTCCTGGAGGGCCCCAGACTCTGAGGAGGCATTTCCTGCTTTCCCCAGTAATGGGACATGCGATAGGCAGAGGCTTGGGAACTGTACAAAGGAAGGGGGAGGGGGAGTGTTACACTCCCTTCTGCTCTCAGTTCTGGCTTTGGAAGACACAAGACTCTTCCTCTCTGCTTTCAAGGGAGCTGGAAACTAAGAGTAGTGACATCAGGCTCAGAATCCTCTCTATTAATCCTCTTGATTCTGACCTTCTGAGATCTCTTGAAGGTCTTGGATGCTATCAACAAAAGGAACATGCTCAGCCTCAAACACAGAAGACAGAATTCATCCTTCCCTGGCCAGGTAGGAAAGTCTGGCTTCAGGTTAGAACAGGTAAGTCAGTGCAGCAAGTGCACTGTGAGGGGTGAGGGTGGGTGAGCAGGCTGGTTATTAACCAGAGCCCACTCCCAAGCTGGTCAGGTATACCAAGCAGCTCTGCTCAGCCTATCGCTCCACCCACTGCCATCAGCCACATAAACAGATCCTGTCCATACTGCCAGTGAATGATTACTGACATATGTGGAATGCTCAATCAGAATAATAATAATAGTAACAATAATAATACA